GGCGAAAGCGCCAGAGCGCCAGGGGTGTCCAACAATAATACTTGTTTAGTCGGAGGTGAGGGGGTGAGATCGAAGTGGAACGGAGAGCCCCCTACCGGGAAATCGGTTTCGGTTTCGTGTTCGTGCGTGCCGCGCGTGCGGGCGAGGCGAAGCTGCGTGGGCGGGCGAGAAGAAAGTCTTCTCTGGCTGAAGCGCGGCCGGACCAAATGATTCCTTTCCGGGGGCCGGTGGCGCGCGGTGTCCCACTGGTGTCCCGCCTCCGGCTGAGGCGCGGCCGGACCAAATGAATCCTTTCCGGGGGCCCGTGGCCCGCGGTGTCCCGCCGGTGTCCCGCCGGTGTCCCGTCGGTGTCCCGATGATGATGATGATGATGATGATGATGATGATGATGATGATGATGATGATGATGATGTCGGTGATGTCGATGATGCTGATGATGATGATGGTGATGGTGGTGGTGATGATGATGTCCCGATGATGATGATGATGATCATGAGATTGACGATGTTGAGGATGATGATGACCATGGTGTCCCGATGATGATGGTGATGGTGATGATGATGATGATCATGTTGCTGATGATGATGATGGCCTCCCGATGATGATGATGATGATGATGATGATATGATGATAGTGATGATCATGATGTTTATGGTGTTGAAGTGAAGATGAGATGATGGCGATGATGATGATGATGTCCCGATGATGATGGTGATGAGGTTGATGATGATGATGTTGATGATGATGGTGATGATGACGGTTTCCCGAATATGATGATGTTGATGATTAAGATGATGTCAGTGTCCCGAAGATGATGATGCTGATGATGAAGAAGATGATGATGATAATTTGATGATGGTGGCCCGATGATGGTAATGATGATGATGCTGCTGTTGATGATGCTGACGGTGTCCCGATGATGATGATGATGGTGATGATGATGATGGTGACGATGATGATGGTGTCCCGATGATAGTGAGGATGTTGATGATGCTGTTACTGATGATGACGATGGTGTCCCGATGATGATGATGGTGATAATGTTGGATATGTGGTTGGTGATCATGATGATATGATGATGATCTTCTGGAAATGATGATGATGATGATGGTGTCGTGATGATGATGATGTGGATGGTCATGATGGTGACGACGATGGTGTCCCGATGGTGATGATGAGGAGGAAAATTGATGATTATGATGTTGATGATGGTGGTGGTTAATTGATGATGATGGTGATGGTGTACCGATGATGATGGTGATGATGATGATGATGATGACGCCGATGACGCTGATGGCGATGATGTTGTTGATGATGATGACGTTGATTGTGAGATCTTTTGTGATATCGATAGTGATACCGATAGCGACACCGAATGTGAGATCGATTGCGGTATCGATAATGAGATCGATAGTGAGATCGGATATGAAATCGATAGTCATATCGATTGTGAGATCGATCGAATGAAATAGATCGAGTGTGATCGATCGAGTGAGATCGATCGAGCGATACCGACAGTGATATCGATAGTGAGATCGATAGTGGGACCGATCGAGTGGGACGTTGGTTCCTCCCCCCCCGAACCTCCTTTATCACCCGAGGGGTGGTCGTATAGGTAACCCACATTCAACAACAACAACAACAACAACAACAACAACAACAACAACAACAACAACAACAATTACTAGCACGTGGGGACACTCCGTTCTCACCAGTGCCAGGGTTTTCATAGGAGGCGGGCAATACCCCCACTTTGTGGGGGGGCCGGTTCAAGCTCTACCAAATTTCCAAACGACTCTTCGCCACCACCCACACCCAGCTTCCCGCCCTATGACGTTCGGACACTTCACTTCGTGGCATGCGGACGACCGTGGCTACTATTCAGGGCCCCGCGGCCGACGACGACGGCGTGCGCGCGCGAAGAAAAAACGAATGTGTCCCGCATGGTATTATTTGACAGGGATGATGGTCCTGGCAGGTGCGCAACCGTTGTTGCAGAAGTTCGGAAAAGTTGCTCGCAAAAGCCCGTTTGACAGAAATGTTTAAAAAATGTTGGGTTTCCTACGAATCCGCAAGAGCGCGCGGGATGAAATTTTGACATTTTTTTTTTTTGTTTTTTTTTTTTTTTTAAAAAAAAAAAACAAAAAAAAAAAAAAAAAAAAAAAATGATGTTTTTATGTTAAAATCGCTACGAAAACTAAGGTTTTGGAAGGATTTCGTCTTGCGCGCGCGAATGTCCACTTTACCTTATTTTTTGCAAGGGATTCTTGAAGTTTGGTTATGTTAGAACAAGAAATGTCCACTTTAGCTTATTTTTTGCAAGGGAAAGCGGGTCGTAACAAAACAACCGGATCCGGACCAACCCGTTTTGCCTGAGACTTCCTCACGAAAATGATGAAAATGTGGCTGCGGCCTAGGCGCGGCGGGGGGGTCGCGCACCAGGGGTCCCAACAATAATTATTCTTAAGAAGAAATAATGTTCAACAACAACAACAACAACAACAACAACAACAACAACAACAACAACAACAACAAGAACAATCATTCTAAGAGTGTTCGCTGTTACGCGCCCGCGTGCCATTCAAAACGAGTTCCCCACACCCTCGATACCCGCGTCTTTTGTCTTCGATCACGTCCCCTGTGGGGGGATTGTTTCTCATTGCGGGGGGCGGCGGGCTTAGACAGGCGGGCAAACCTGAACGGGCGGACGATCCGTCCTGGGCGTACATGTGCCCGCCATTGGAATTGGTGTGGGCATTGCAAAAAAAGAATGGAAAACGAAGGGAAAATGGCGGGAGGAAAAGAGGGGGAAGGACGAAGGAAGAGGGAAAACGACAGGAGAGAAAGAGCGAAGAGGGGGCGGTTGATTAGAGGCAAAGAGAGAAAGAGAGAGAGAGAGAGAAAAAAACAGAGAAAATGACAGATAAGAGAGGTAGAGAAAGAGAGAGAAAGGGGAAAGAGAGAGAGAGAGAGAAACAAAAAAAAAAAAAGAGGGAGGAGGCAGGAGAGGGAAGGGAAAAGGGAGGAGGGAGAGGAATGAGAGGGGATAGGGCAGAGAGGCATAAGGATGAGGGACGAGAGGAAGGAGAAAAAAGGCAGGAGAGGAGGGGGGAGGGATAGAAGAGGGAAAGGGAGGAGGAACAGGAAGGTAAGAGCGTGAACGTTCGAGGAAATCCTAAGCGAATGCGCCGTTCCTGAAGGAATTCTCGGGCGGGGGCGCACGACGGGCGGCCGATCCCATGACGGGCGGGCTGGGCGGGTGGGACATTCAAACGGGATGCCTCAGTATGGCGAGAGCGCGATTATTAAGTAAATTGTAACGGCGTCCTTGGCGCAGCGTGTTTCATGAGCGTCGAAAGCGCGATTGTTGAATAATTGCATGGAAATCACAGGCGAGAGCGCAATTCCTGAATAAAATGTGAAGGGCTCTCTGGCGGGAGCGGGGATCTTGATTAAATTGCGAGGGGGTCTTGGTTCAATTGCGAGGAAATCTCAAGCGGGAGCGCCGTTCCTGAATACGTAAATTGTGAGGCAGTCTCAGATGGGAGCGGAGGTCCTGACTAAACTGCGAGGAAGTCAATGGCGGAGCACCGATCCTGAGTAAATTGTAAGGACGTCTCAGGAGCGGGGGTCCTGAGTAAATCTGGAGGAAGTCTCAGGCGGGAGCCGTTGTTGTTGCAATCCGGGGGGCCAGGGGCCCAGTTTGAGCACCAATACTTCCCCTATCAAAAAACAATGTGCGAGCGTCGAGGGCCGCACTTTGATTGAAAGAAAACAGTATGCACCAGTGACGGGGGATCAACAATAATTATTATTCAGAAGTGAGAGCTCAACAATCATGTTAAGACAATTTGTTCTTATTTGAACGCGTGCCACGCAACGCGTATATCCGAAACCCTCGACACCCGCCCTCTTTGCCTTCGACCGCCCCCCCTCGGGGGCGCATTTCCCTTACCTGCCGCGCACATTCAGCGCAACCCTTAAAGCGGGGGAAAGGGGGCGGACGTGGGAAGAGAAGGATGGGCCACGCGGGAGGGCCTCTCGGAGCAAATCGCGAGGAGGCATCGAGCGGGAGCCTTTGTCATCGCGGCTGCGCCCCCGCTAAATTGATTGAGTTGCGAGGGTGTCCACAGCGAGAGCGCTGTTCCTGAGTTCGGGAACCTCTCTGGCCAGGGCCTCCCTGATCGCGCGGAAATATCGAGCGAGGGCCTTGTCGTCGCGGCTGGGCATCCGCAAACTTGATTGAATTGCGAAGAAGTCTCATGCGAGAGCGCCGTTCCTGGGACCTCTGCGGGCTGGGGTATCTGTGGGCGCGCTTGGGGCCTCTGTGGGCCGCTTGGGAAGCCTCAGTGGGCGGCGCGCCGGGGCCTCTGCGGGCGCGCTTGGGGCCTCTGCGGGCAGGGGCCTACGCGGGCGCCAGTGGGGCCTCTGTCGGCTGCGTCGGGGAGCCTCAGCAGGCAGCGCGCCGGGGCCTCTGCGGGTGAGGCAGAGATGGACGAGCACGTCCTCTACGTCAACGTCGGCGGCGCGATAACCAGCGCGGCGCGGGCAATGACTTCGCCGCGCGCAACGCTGCGACCGGAGAACGCCCGCGCGACGCGCCGAGCAGCGGCGACCTACAGAGGCCCCAGCCCGCGAAGGCCCCAAGCTCAGGCGGTGGCCGCAACGCTCGCGCGGCCATGCCTTGGCGCGGGAGTTCTCCGACTCCACGTCGTCGGCGTGGGCTCCCGTCTTCTTGCCCCTGCACCGGTTGCCCTCGTGAACCACCGCGGGGGGGCTCTCGAAACCCAATTTCCACAGGGCTGAACGCGTTGAAGTCCACCCGCCCGATGCGACCATCGACGTCTTGCGCGCGCGGCTCACCGAAGCTTCCTCGATCTCTCCGAGACCCCGCGGCTCGCCGCTGCGGGCGTCGGCCTTGCGCGGCAGGAACTCGCGCGCCACCCTCTTCCCGAGGCCCTGGCGCGCGCGCGCGCGTCGGCCTTGTTGCCCGCGAGCACGGCGACCCAGAGCCAGCGGACGTTGCTCTTCAGGTCGGCGGCGGGCCCCCCACGAATGGCCGCGTTCTTCCGCGGGGGGGGGGTCTTCATCGGCTTCTCCGTCGGCCCCTTCATCGGCTTGCTCTTGAGCTCGAGGGGGCCCTTCTGCACTTGCTGGGCGTCGTAGACCGTTCGCGCTGGCAACCGCGCAGGATCCGCTTCCGCGCCAGCTTGGCGGTCCTGCGCGGCCCCGCGCGCGCCGCAGCGGCCCCACCTATGTTCGCGCTCCTGAATTCGAGCGCCCATCCGTCCGCCTTATCGACGCCGATCACTATCTCGTCGACGACCACGGTGTCCCCCTCCCCCTTGCTTGCCGCCGACCATGAGGGCGTCCAACGCAGGCAGCGCTTTCCCCAGGCATTCCTGGTAGAACGGCTTCCAAGCGGAGATTGTGTTCCTGTGAAGTTCGCCGAACAGGTTGGCCATCTCGTCCTGGGCGCCCTTGAAATTGCGCCCCAAGCGGAAGTTGTTGATCAAGTGCAGGAAAAGCATCCACGAATTCACGGGGACCTTAATGAAGAAGTCATGCGAGTTCACAGGTTCGCAGAAGTGCTTGTGCCCGACGGTCTTGCACGACCAGCGGTAAGTGCTCCACCCACGGTCCGCCCGGGCATCGAACGTCGTCGGCCCGCCGCA